AAAATTTGAGTTTGCCCCCCAAATGCCCCCCCAAATTTGGAAGCCTGGCGCCGCCACTGTTAGTAATTCTGTGTTTGAATAATTAGACCATATAGGCTTCGTACAAAAGGAATATTCTAATAACTACGTTTCGGAGTATAACTCCATCTTCAGGTTAAAAAGTAACTAAAGATATGAACTTTAAAAACAATTGTTTTTAAAGTTTTATATCTTTAGTTACTTTTTAACCTGAAGATGAAGTTATACTCCGCGAAACGTAGTTATTAAAATAATCATTTTGTATTAAGCCTATATGGTCTAATTATTCAAACACAGAACACGGAAAATGTTTTATATTTGTTAAATATGACATTATATTTTATATAGCATGTATATTCCCGATAAATCGTCGCGACGCAGCTGTAAGCGACGTTTATTTATAGTGAATCACAATATTCTCATTAATTAATAGAGCTGTATATAAATCAACGGGCAGATAAGTTTTGAATTTATTTTGTGCAGTGTAATATGTTTGTAGTGCGACATGCGTGAACACGAATGACGCATTATGCTATTGGTGTGCGGGTTACACTTTGGTGTGACCACGGTTAATAGAATGAGACCTATATATTAGCCTTGGTGTGACACATGAACAACATAAAGAGAATGTATGTATGTCTATTGTCTGAAGGGCGAGTATTTCACACAATTTCGATGTTTTCAAACTTTTACGAGCGTTTTATATAACTCTAGATCAGCATTAAACCTTCTTCTGTAGTGCTGTTAAAACCTTCGCAAGGACTCAAGATTTTCTAAAAAAATGTTTTAAAAAAGTTTTTAAAAAATTTAAAAAAGAAAAAAAAGTTAAGAAAGTTAGATTTTCGAAAAAGTTAGATTAGGGTTAGGGTTGGGGGTTACTGGTTAGTGTTAGGGGAGATGCTGCGAATTTATCATTATGATCATACCTAATTTCTAGAATTTTTTATCACTGCACATTTTTGTGCAAAGTTTAGCCGAGCACTAGAAGCACGCCCTAGAAAATTTCGGAACAGACCCTTATAATAATGTGTACATGTAACAACAAAGCAGGCTACAATTCATATTCAAAAATGCCAAAACGAACATACACTGCAGAGCTGTCAGGGATATTTGGGGGCCCAGGACAAACTTTGACTTGCGGGCTTTTGCGATTCCATGTTCTACAACACTATGATTAGGGTGTTCGGTGGCATCCCCCGGAAAAATTTTGAAATCTGAGGTCCCAGAAATGGCCAAATCCTGCATTCTGGAAGTCTAGTTGACAGTTATATCTATGTATACTCATATAGTAAGTGAATGTATCTATGTATACTCAATATAGTAAATATTTACTCATATAGTAAATTCAAAGGTGGAGCTCATGCTGGGAAATGTAACACCAGCAATTTGCTCCATTCTCTGTCGGGAACTCCGGATTCTCAGAACACTATAATGGAATGGAATAGAACACGGTCTGAACTGTTCTGACAACCACTATTTTTAAGTATAGGGGCAGCGAGGCTGAACATGATATCTATAATTATTCATGTGAGGTCAAAGTTATTTACCGATCAGGTAAACTGAAGTAAATAACAATATATAGATCTGAATCATTCTCGTACCCAGAGCCCTTCTTACGTGCGTACGACCGACGAGGGACTCTGGCCAAATCCATATCAAACTGCCATCAGATTGGCCATAGTTCTAATACTGGATATTGTTCTCTTACCATGTTTCTATGGTATCCGCGGTTATGGATTTGGCCAGAGCCCCTCGTCGCGCTCGGTCGAACGCGCGTAAGAAGGGCTCTGGGTACAATAATGGGTCTGAATACGTTAGCCTAATCCAGTTCCATACCCTCTTCTGACAGCACGGCGAGCGGAATCCAATAATTGTTTTATTATACATAAAAGTATATAAAGATAAGTATATAAAGTCTATAAAGCTGAGACTTGCGACGGTTAAAAATGAAAAAAACCAATTTAATAAAATAACTAAATACATGTCATGAAGATAGTTTTGTATTAAAACTAGTACAGGGCTATTAAACTGTCTAAAACAATCTAAAACTAACTTATTTATGTATAATACAGTTTTTCAGAAATGGGAAATTTACGATTTGCGTACGATATTTCGCCTTTTTGGGCACAATTACTTGTTGGAAAACAAAACGTGTCCGAGTTTAACAAAGTAACATCGGAAGAGTTCGAATTTTGGAACAAAGTTTACAAAACTCACGTAACTGCCGTTGTCATGGAGACGCTGACGTTTCGATATAGCGGATATTAACTCTTAAACGAGTTTGGTGACCCCAATTTTTTATTTCATAAAATGATTTATTAAAAATTTGACTTTATTTGACGACTTTAAAAAATCTCAAAAGACTCAAATTTTTCTAAATTAACTCAACATGAATATTCGTAATAACATTTTTTGACTGTACAAAAGTTTTTTTAAATTGTTAAATAAATTCAAAATTTTATTAGCTTTTGCATGTGAGTTGGTTTTTGCGATGAGTGCAAAAGAGCCTTTATTCGTACGATTGAAAATATACGACAAGTTTTCTTTACTACCTAACAATATATTTGAAGGTTTAAAGTTTGTTCGTTCACTGCAACCAGGTATATCAATCATGTTTCGCTCGCCCAATCTGGTTTAAATAAATTATTACAAAGCCCAGTCGAATTGTAATCAAGACCCAACGTTTCGACACTCCAGTCTAGTGTCTTCATCAGGGGTGATCTAAAATTGCAATCGTGGCTTCTTAAATACCCAAGAGATGACGTCACCTGCCAATGAGATGCATATATTCCTCTGGCAAATAGGCACTGTCATCCCTATTCAAAGCATAATGACTCATATTTATATGCCACGCTTCTAGGCAAAGTCTTTGACCATAGCGATTGTTTGCGGTAATTACTTTAGAGTTTTCCCACACAATCTCGTGTTTGGTGTGACATACATGTTTGGCTAAAACTGATTTTCCCTTGTCTAAAGTTGAAACAGCCTTTTGATTTTCTTTTAGCCGTATACCAAACTGGCGTTTAGACTGACCCAAATAGTCTTTCTCGCAGTCACCGCATGGTATAGAATATACAGCATCAGTTTTCTGATTTGTTTTAACAGGATATTTTGGCTTTTGCGAAAATATGGCCTAAATTCAAATAGGGTTTTAAGGCAACCTTAAAGGTCATCTACAGTCCGATCTGCGCATGTGCACAAAGGAGCCCACTTTTTATGATACAAACAGTTTAACTATGTTTTGGGTTCTTGAAAAGCCTGATTGTTTCTTGATCATTTATTATACTCTAGAAGCTTGAAAATATAAATAGTTGTCGAATAAAACTCAATATTTTGGACACAAAAATGTAAACAAAGGCTTTGATTACATACGGACTGTAGAGCACCTTTAATATTACAATTACTTAAATTCTCTTGATTGGCACTGTGACACCTTGAATGTATGGAACTATTGCATAACCCTTAACAGAAGTATCACCCTCGGATTGCAGTGAACGAACAAACTAAAAGTGATAGTTTTGGGCGATTTCTCATTTGTAAGAATATTCTTAAAAAATTACCATGTTATCATGACAACTACTTTAGATACTTCATGTTCGGAAAATACAATGGTTTTGTCAGCAAGGCGAGGGTTTCTGCATGCATGTATTTTCTAGTATATGTGGTACTCTGCATCACGCATCGAGTTCGGACCATTGTCGATGGACAATTTTATCCCTGGAACCCCAATGTCTTTAAAATACTTCAATTGTTCTCCAAGAATGCTTTTTAATGGCGAAATTACAAACGTCACTGTCACCTTTTGATCAAGTTTTAACAATATTGAAACCATAAGAATTGTCGTAAATATTAGTCTCAACAATCTCCTCTGTACATGAGTCTGCCACTTGAAGAGTTTCTCAATCAATTCATCCTCCAGCCAATGGAAAACGTGCGTTGTCTGAAAAACGCGGTGTACCCATTTGTGAATAGCATATCCACAGTGCCTTTTTCGCCGCCCTCCCTTTCCCGTTCGCTTGTTCTCCCGGGGGAAAGCCGCTCGAGATTTAGCCTCATTTATGTGATCCCCCCCAGGTCATGCAATGATCAGTTGACCAGCAGGATCGATCCGCAGCCGCGGCAAATGGGTCAAATAAAGTTTTTCTCTGATCTTTTGGTATGGATTGTCACTCAGACTAGCAACTAATACCCTTTTGTGGCTTCAATTTACAGATACTTTTGTTTTGGAAAATAAAAATAAATCCATCTTCCGTCCGTCTGTCTATCTTATTTTTCATTATTATAATTTCCTTATCTGTCCACATGTTTCTTTGTTCAGTTCAGTCTGCTGCGACGTCGGACTCTGAATTCAAAGATTTTAACGATGTTCTTTTGCTGACAGTGGACGACATAGAGTTTAATGAAGGGCAAAAAATACTAAATAATGTCGAAATACAAAGCAAGAAAGACGAAGGTGACAAAAACTGTTGCTTTGGAGAAATAGGTAGTAATAACGTTGACGCTCTTGAAAGTTCCATCCTTCGGCAAGACCGACACTTCGTCAGGCCAAACCGTTCTTCTTTATGAAACAATCCAACAACTTAAACCGAAAGCCATTGTTTTTCTGGGAGTTTGCGATGGTGTAAGGAAAGAAGCGCATTCTCTTGGTGATATCGTGGTGTCATCACAAGTTTACTTCCTCGAGCAACAGGATGACGGTTTGTCAAATTTTGATCGTACAACGTGTGACTCTAATTTGGGATTCGTGCGTTTGTTCGACCGTGGGAAATTTGCGTGGTTTGTGAAAATGTGTTAGTTCCGAAAGTACATGTTGGTCAGTTTACGACAGGTTTACAAGATGGTGACGACATAAAGAGGGATTCACTCAAGGCGGGAACCATTGGAGTAGACACGACGGCAAAACATAGGTATACTAAAGCGAGCGATCGGAGTTATTCCCTCGTAAAACAGGAAAAGAAAACAAAACCTTTTTGTTAATGATTGTGAAGTAAGAATAATTAAATAGACAGGTTTTAATGAAAAGACTACGACGGAACTAATTGCATAGCATTTTGAGAACTTATTCTCAACTAATTATTTATATTTATGTATTTTATTTCATCACATTTACAGTAAACACTGACCCACGGTAGCTTATAGAGGTGTGCATTGGATCGGATTGGACGTTTATAATCCGACAATTGCCTAATGTTTAAAATCCGATCCGATCCGATATTGCCTAATCCGAATCCGATCCGAGTTTTGAAAAAGAATTCCAATCCGATCCGATCCGAAGAATTCTTTAATAAAATAAATGTCTCATTCAAGTTGAAATATTTAACCAAATAAATATAAAAGCAAGAAATACATGTCAAGAAGCTGACAAAGTGACGTCCAATTGAAGTATCAAACGAATAATGCAGCTACAACCGCGATAATGCTTTGATAAATGCATGGATAATTAATTTTTGCGATAATGCGTGGATAATTAATTCATTTTATTTCGGATATCGAAGTCCGATCCGATCCGACTACGAAACAACTTTATCAATCCGATCCGATATGAATATTTTGGTTCCGAAATCCGAACGAATCCGTTCGGATCGGATTCGGATTTGGATTGGTTTCGCATCGGATTTGCACACCTCTTTATAGTCGCTTATCAACCAGAATCGATTTACATTGTTATTGAAAAGAAAGAAAAATAAAAAAAATTGTTTTTCATAAGGGCGCGTGTTCTAAACGGTTATAAAAATAATAAAAATCTAAAGGCTCTTTTCCACTCATCGCAAAAACCGACTCGCAAGCTCGCTGCGAGTACTTTCATCCAATCACAATGCTCGAAAGTTTATTCTAATTAGATGCAATCACTCGCAGCGTGCTTATGAGTTGGTTTTGCGATGAGTAGAAAAGAGCCTTAAGGACATGCAGGTAAATTCTATTTCTAACTCGGAATAACTGCCGTTTCGCCATTACATAAGCATGACCAAAACGGACACACGTGGAAAGCCAAGGCTTGTCAGAAACTTAACTTGCAGAAACATTCTCTGAGTACATTTGAGTTTGAAGCGAACGAACTTCTGTGACATTTGCGAAATTTGAATACGCACTTCAACATTCATAATATTTTCTTGTATGTGTCTTCACTGAGTTTGATATTTTGTAATTGGACTTGTGGAATTTCCCCTCATGCAAACAGAATCAATTTTAGTCCGTTTCTTATAGACTTTAATGTCACCCTCGGGCTAACGCTCTCCTGTGCAACACACAAAAGCATTCGAGTTCCGATGTTACTCCAAATAGCGAACGATAACGTCAATTTTATCGTTTCAAGGTGTATATGCAACTTGTCAGAACTCTGGAGTTCCCTGGCTGGCCTGTAAATCTCTTGTAAAATGGGAAAATGATGAATTTCAAAATTCGAGATGGTGCCAATTTGGTGCGGCAGTTTCAACTTCTTACGTTCAACATGTTCTCAACAGATTTTATATCCCAGACGAAATTCAAGGTACGTACACGGTTACTCAATATATGGAGGATAATAGACTACAAAACACCCTGATTAAAAATTTTCTTGTTAGTCTGAAATTAATATTGTTTGGGGTAACTTAATGTCCCTGTTTAAATTTCCTGGTTACAATAGCCACATTGCTAGTTAATTTGATCACTATCGTTTAGCCAGGATTCCTGTTTCATTTAACGAGGCTATATATGGTTGAACTAACCAAATTATGTTAGGTCGATTATTAACTAGGAATTCTTTGTTAATAATGGGCCTAACATAGCCTGGTTAATTCAACCATATATTAACCTGGTTAAGGTTACAGAACACCCTTTTTGGCGTTTTGTGGAAAATTGCTACTGCGCGCTCAAAATCAGTCCGATTTTCATGCCAGTGCATGCAAAATATGATAAAGTTGTAAAATTGACAAACAATAAAATGATGTAAGAATTATTCAGGAAAATCTTAAGTCGCGGTACCTTTACGCTTTTGAGATATGTTCCTGCTGGTTTTAAGATATATTTATGAAAATATCATTTTTATACAGTAAAATAGTTGTTCTAAAAAACTGTGTTCGGAAATTTTTGTTTACTTCGTCATTCCGCTGACATGGCGATTTCTTTGACGACTGCAATATATTTCTGAATCGTTTGTGTGAATTGCTCCTTATTATTAAAATATGCCAAATTAGAACAAAGCCGAACACCATTTTTAAACCGACGTCTTTAGCTATGTCCTGTGAAAATTTGAGAAAAATTCGTTAAAACCCGCATGAGGAACACAACTCGTTTAAAAATCAGTAATTGCCGTAAAATTCTTCGGGAGAAAATTGAATTTGAACATTACATTTTCAATGTTTTTCTTATTGCAAGCGAAATGTATTTTATTAAATAACTCTGCGAGTTTTCAACATTTTTCGTCCAAACTTGGTCAGATAGTAGAACTAGTCTAATGCTTTCATGGAAACCAATAAAAAAATTCTAGGCAAAATTAACACTCAAAGGTGTTCTGTAACCTTAATTCAACCATATATATTAACCTGGTTAAATCAACTAGGGATCCTGGTTAAATTAGCCAGGAGTATGATCAAACTAACCGAGAATATGGTTAAGCTATTATAGTTGTGTTGGGGTATAATATAATTTATAATATAGCATTTGTAAATTCTGAACGCTGATTGGTAAAGAGCCGTGGTGATATAACTCAATGTCAACACGGAAACGTCGGAAAATTTCTTTCTTTATGTTTCTTTGTGCTATATTAAAAAACAAATTTAAAACTTTTTTCCGTATTGATATACAGGGTGTATCAAAATAAACGCAATTCATCTTTTGTGCTTAATAACTTTCGAAATACTATTTCTATTTAAACGCTTTTAGGCTTACTTCAAAGCCTGTTCTTTTCTCTTTCAAATAAACTATTATCCTTGTCTCCAATGCTTGTAATAATTGAACAGGAAAAGATTTAGTAAAACCTATCATTTTTAGTTGCTGTTTAATTATGCTAGTTTACTATGTAATTGTTTAGTCGGTTTAAATGTTAGAATTTTCTTCTTAAAACTTTAATGTTGTCGTCACTACATCTGGAAAACCACGTAAGAACAAATTAAAAGTATTTTAAAAGAGACCAGGTTGTTTGAAAATCCTAAAAGAATGCTAAAAATCGTCAAAACATTCTGGTGTCTGAGCCAGAGTGTCTTCGAATTGCGATGTAATGTAAACAGAAATTATAGCAAGTTGATGTCAGTCAGCTTAGATGGTCCAAGCCAAAATTATATCGCATTTGAAGTTTCAAACTGAGTTAAAAACATAGACGGATTTTCATATTTTTTACTGGGGTGGTGCCAGAAATTTTAGGGGGGTGAGCCGCGAGCAGGTGACTGAAGCAACACCAGGGCCTTTTTTAAGGATTTTCCCGTGGGGGGGGGGCATTTTTTGAAAAGGGACCTTTCCGTGAGATAATATATTAGAGGGGGATAGCAATGGCTGAAGGCCACGTGTGTGGCCAATATACCACGCATGAATGGGGGGGTCTGGGGTACTCCCCCAGAAAATTTTTGAAATTTGAATCCCGGAAATGTCATTTCCTGCATTCTGAGCATCCAAATTTGGTCCAAAATTTATGCTAACTATACTTGTATTTGAAATAAATAAAGAAAAAAACGCACAAAAAGTAAAAAAAAAATAACCATCATTTATCATTACTTATTAGAGGAGGATAACAATGGTCAGGTGTGTGGGGGTGTATTCCCCCAGAAAAATTTTGAAATTTGAAGCATGGAAATGCCATTTCCTGCATTCTGAGCATCCAAATTTGCTCTAAAATTTATGCTAACTATACTTGTATTTGAAGTAAAAGATGGAAAAAATGCGCAAAAAGTAAAAAAGAATATTAACTGTAATTTATCGGCTTATTAGAGGGATAATCCTCAGAAAATGTTTGAAATTTGAAACCCGGAAATGCTATTTCCTGCATTCTGAGCATCCAAAAATTCTAAAAGTTCACTAACATTAATTGAGTGAAGATTCAATCTGAGCCATAGACGGATTTTCATATTTTTGACTGCGGTGGTGCCAGAAATTTTAGGGTGGTGAGCCGCGAGCAGGTGACTGAAGCAACACAAAGTGTCACCAAACCCCAGTAAGGGCTATATTCTAGAGGTGGAGCACTAGAGCCGCGAGTGGAAGTCTAGAGAGCAGAAAACAAAGTATCCCTGGAAAAATTTGAAAAAATCATGATTTCTAGCTTCGAAAAAAGTTTTTTGAAGTTGTCATATCAATGGATTTGGCCTGTCCGATTGTCTGTTGAGACTTGAGAGAGTTAAAGTTAAATGAAGCTGTAAAAGTGTAAACCCAATAGGCCAATACACAATATGCTTTTACTTTTATAAAATCATTGACATTGTGTCGTTTGAATCCGAGTACAATTTATGATGCAACTCCGATGTAAATAATATTTGGGACGTAAAGATTAAATCTAGGCAAGACTATTTCCTAAAAGAATTAAAACTAAAAATAATGTTCGTAAAATTTCCAAACGTTCTTTGCAAGCAAGCTATTTGCATGACAAGGCACTGCAAACTCTATTCTTCAGGGGAGATAATAGAGTTTCAAAACTTTACAATTGGTCCAATAAACCAGTGAATGCAAGCGAGGAGCAATTAGTTTCAGAGTATTGCGTCTTTTTCTATTTGAGTGTACTCCTACGTTTATTTTG